ATGTATTATATGTGGTATGTGTCCTCTGACACAGCGTTCGTTGTCGCCAGTAGCAAGCTGGCGGGCGGACAGAATGGGATCGAGTGAGATCCTAACCACAACAGTGAGGGTCAAACGCCCACTTGACATGCATATATATATATATAGGAGATGGAGCAGACAAAGACAAGTGTGACCGGAATAGCCGTTTCTGGCTTATTGGCCGTCATCTGCCAGTCATAACCAACCCTAAGTTTGAATCCCTTGAGATTTGATCCTTGGATCTTTGGTGATGGATTTTGACAGTCTACCATTGTGCCACGGGCCCGTTGTCCTGTCGGTTGTGATCGGGAATAGCAATTATGTCAGTGGGCGCTCACCGATCAGGTTACGGAACATGCTTGTTCCCTTGTGCCTTGGGGCTCATACTCGAACCCTCGCAGGCAGTCGCACTGCGACTTGTAGTAGACATACATAGGTCAGATGGAGCCGACAATGACAAGGGAGACCGGAATAGCCATTTCTGGCTTATTGTCCGTATATATATATATATATTTATTTATTTATTTATTTATTTATTTATTCACTTACAAAGAAGCATACACCGATCTTTTGGCTTCCCGGGGCAAACAAGCTTCGTATGTGCAATAGGGGCCACGGACGTGCAATCGCCTACTTGACGCAAATCGGTCCAAAATATGATAGCAGAAGGGAGACGACAGAGTCTGGGGGTAGTTTGATACAACACTGTTTCGGACTTGTTTGCCTTCATTCAGCCAATCATAACCCTGACCACCAGCTGGGACCGGAAACAAACATGCGCACAGACACACCTGGCGCAGCTGGTTCACCATGGGGTCCACCAGATGGGTTACGGATGAAGTGCTTATCACAAACTAAGATTATAGTAGGTGTCCTTGTAGTCACGCAGCACGAGGTCGCCGATGACTCCTGCTTCTTCTGTCAGATTTCTCAGAACCTCCAACCTCTCGAACTGCATCTTCTCCATGGTCCTGGTTGTAGGATCGTCTGGATGCCGTACGCGCACTGCCGTACTGCTGGCGCGCAGTGCCGTACGTAGCTGGTTTGTCAGAAGAATTCGCCAGACTGGTGAACGAATTCGGGATCGGCGTTGGGCACAGACCTGAAGCCACAATCAACCGGCAACTCATGCAGCCCAAGGATCCGATTCCCATTAAATCTGAAATCGGGGGTCATTTACCGGATAGACGGCAATTGCGGTCAGGCCAGTTATGTTAGTGAAACCGGAAAACAGGTGCGCACGAGATTGCACGAGCATGAATTGGCCGTGAGGCGGAAGGATAAACTCTCCGTGGTAGCCGCCCACGCCTCCTCGCCAGGACACGTCTTTGACTTTGGGAGGGTGAGAATACTAGGGCAGTCAGACAACCGAGTTGCGCGCCTGCTGCAGGAAGCGTGGCACTCAAATGAGGACGCGATTAATCGACATATCGACCTGCCAATCGCCTATCAAGCACTGAGTGAACAAATCAACAGCGCAGCTAGAGGTCAACTCCGGCAGAGGTGAGTTAAATACCCGACGAGCTGTACAGGTTTTTCATTCCTTGACGATGTGCTCGCGTGAGATTTCGAAAGGTCGGATAAATAAACCATTGGTCCCAACGATCGCCTTCCCGTCTTCTTCTATACAGTTTGAAAGTGGACAAGGAGGTCGCTGTCGCGAGAATTGCGATGTTGAATATTGCCTGTTAATTCTTGTGGCGAGCGACTGCTGTCTGATGCGTTGCAGATGTCAGCACATAGTAAACAAATGGTACAAACATCTAGACATATAATCTGGACGACAAATGGTCCAGACTGGCAAAGTTTACGGATCCGTGTCGATGATTTGGGTAAAAAGATGGGTTGACTGCTACTGGTTTATTTGGGAGCCGACGTTTCAAAGAGTTTCTCTTCAGATAAAGTGTCCCACGGAGTAGTTAAACCTCAGCCAAGGATATTTCAGATTGGTTGGATAAACAGGAAGATTACTCCGAATGCGAAGGCCGGACATGCACCGGCACTGAGCAGGAATAACGTTACCCTGCAGGTCTCGGCCCGCTAGACGGGCCGGACAATATCTTCAAGATCGACGAGGCCGAAATTCTCGCATGATGTGACAGCCATGTAAAGCTCGAGCCGGTTCGCGTTTAGCGAACAAGCAGAATGACCTTCCACCTTCAAATTCTGTGCTGCGGTTTTACCTGGGTAAAATAATTAGACCCGCGTAGAGAGCGCGGGCCACCAACGCTCCGTTGACGATGAGCCAAATTGCCCTGAAATCATCGCGTCAAGGGGCAGCAACAATGATGAAAATATGCTTACTGACGTCGTGGATAGGGACTAACAAGCAATCGCCGCATCAAGTACGGCCCCAGCGGTGAACGCAAGTTCTGTTAATTTATAAAGGTATCTGAATGTCTGGCAATAGCTAGCTCAATGCGGGGCATTTGCAATCTCCAGCATTGTCACATTCAAGCTTAGAACGTGGTAGTTGCCGTTGTTAACCGGAGATTAGGCGTCTGCCTTTAGTTTGCCAGAATGCTCTGGGGCTGGGACATACATCAAAATGAGCAACCGTTGGCACTAAAATTGCGGGTGCTGGAATCATGGCGCACGTCAGGGTCCAAATCACAGTGCAAACTTTCGAATTCGACAGGTGCCTCAAAAGCTCTTTTTCTGCCGAAATCAAAGGCAACATCAACATATATCGGGATCCGGACAGGCTGAAAAAAAATTAATGGCAGATTTCACTGTGTATTGTCAAAACTTGGTCATACGCATGGGATTATTTATCGCGACGATCGGGAATGCGAAACAATCAAGTATTTACTTCTATGAAATACCTGCTGACATATTTTAACTGGATATGTTTAATTTAACGTGGCTTCTGGAGGATATATCCTTGAGGATGTACAACGACATGCTACCAAGGCTGTTCACGGCCACAAAAATTTTACGTACGAGCAGCGCCTGACGGCCTTGAACCTCTATCCCCTCCACTACAGGCAGGACGGAGGTGAACTCATAGCAACACTTCAGTTGCTAAGAGAACTTAATCTGGATGTCGACGGGGAAACATTTTTTTGAAATGGCTTCCAAGTCTAATCTCAGACGACATGATTACCAGCTTAAAAAGGAACTAAGCAACACAAGTCAACGTTCCTCCTTTCTCTCACAGAGGTCCATTCGCCAATGGAATTCTTTGCCGGAGTATGTTGTTAATTGCCCTACCGTGTGTGTGTTCAAGAGACAAGTGGATACTCACCTGCTGAAAGGCAAACCGAACTGCCGAAGCCTGATCTAGCGAATTACTGAAATGACTATAAATGTAGTACTAACATGATTTCAACAGATTCTTTTTGTACCTCAAACTTGATCCATATGGAAATTTTTACAGTCCGAATGCGGTAAACAAAGTTCTTTGCAATTATTTCGCGAATACCATACCCCTTTAGCATTTATGTTCCATTTTTAGATTTGTGGATTCTCCTTACTAAAATTGCAAACAAAATCTTTGCGATTATACTATTTTCTCTTACATCTGTACCGTCTAATTGGAGTTTTCAGGGCTTCTCTCGTTTACTCCAAATATACTGACTGATCCCCTTTCCCTTATTTTATTCCCCTTAAAACTTAACCTAAATGGTACCGTCATGATTAGCGTTTTAATAAGGCCTAGGCTTGTGTTTAGAGAGTAGTTTTAGGGTTGGGTTGTAATCATCGGATTAGTGTTATGGGGTTAGAGGTTGTGTTATCTACGTTATCAAATTCATTTATCGCATCAGTCGCGGTCATAACTGGGGGGAGGGGTGGAATTGATGGAGTACTCTTCACATTTTTACATTCAGCGTGATTCCTCATCAGGGGCTCGGATCAATTCACTTGGAATATCTAACCAATAATATTGTCTTCCATTTTTCCCGTCGATTTGCATTTCATAATGGCCAGTATTTTATACTACGAGCTGGCATTTTGCACTTTTGATAATGCAGTTAAACTAGATGGTTTGTGCTGAAGTACTTGACTACTTGACCTTTGGCAATCTTGTCACGTTTGTTTTACTGCAGCATTTGTTTTAACGTGACGAAGACTCAGCCGCTTGCTTGCTCTCTGGTCAGGTCGTTGCACATTTTAAATATTAACTATATTCACTTACTGGCCTTCCTTACCTCTCTCCGTTTATTAGGTTAGTAAGCCGTAGTTCGTTAGTTCACGGGAACGGCATAACTTACGTCATTGGTGACTCCCGACGTTAGCGCAAACTTAAGTTCTTTCCTTCTGTAACATTTAATGACATTTAACGTCCTGTATTTATTTGCTAAATTTTAGTTCATTTACATTTCCCGCTAACCTATTCGCGATATTGTGCTACCTATATTTTGCTTATTATGTCTTCCTCAACTCAATAACCTGACGTTCCTGCCGAGTCTGTTCATGCCGTCCATTTCATTTTGCCTGGTTTCTGGCAACACGCCCCTGAACTTTATTTTATCCGCATTGAGTTAGCCTTTTACTCTGCCAACATTATGAAGGATTTGTCGAAATACCACAAACTTGTGGTAGTTCTCCCTGCCAATATTATTTCACAAGTTCAACCCTTGTTAGTGGAACCCCCTGCAGACGCTCCCTATTCTGCTCTGAAGGCGGAAATCCTTCGTCTCAATGCTGTATCTGACCGACAACGCTACCACCAGTTGATCAAAAAGGAATCACTGGGCGAGCGAAAGCCCTCAGAACTTCTCCGACGAATGCGTACTCTCTTAGGAAATGGCAAACCGAATGATAGAGGTTCAACGGTTCCAGCCGCCTTCCGTTGCTCAGATTTCCACATCCTCTGCAACGGTTAAGGAGCAGTTACTGCAACAGATGTCGACTATGGCGAATGAGATAGCCTCCCTAAAACTACAGCTTGCTCGCATTACCTGTAGTCGCTCACCCAGCCGTAATTGTTCACGTTCGCGACCTCGCACAGCCAATTTGTGTTGGTATCACGCAAGCTTTGCCGCCAAGGCTCGCAAAAGTTCTTCCCCTTGTTCATTTAAACCGAAACAGGGAAACCAGCCAGCCAGAGAATAGACGTGACCGTTTTCTCTGGCTCTCCCAGCTCTGGTCGCACCTTTTATGTCTGCGGCAATGTGACTCGCAGGCGTTTCCTGGTGGACACCGGAGCCCAGATCATCGTGGTTCCCCCCACTCCAGTTGACCGCCGCTTTCCTAGCCCTGATCTGCATCTCCAAGCTGCAAACTGATCCCCCATTTCCACTTTTGGTAGTCGTTCCCTAACGCTAAACATTGGTTTACGTCGATCATTCTCCTGGATATTTGTGATTGTCGATGTGCCTCATGCGATCCTTGGTTCCGAATTCCTAGCCGAGTTTGATCTCCTTGTTGACTGTCGGCGTTCCTGTCTCCTCGACCGCACAACTGGTCTTTCTGTCCGCGGTCTTACACCCTTTAATAACTCCTGCAATTTATCTATTCTGGACACAGGTATTGCTTGCCCATACCGAGACCTGCTCCTCCAACACCCCAACATAATCAAACCTCAGTTTCGCAGTGGTGAGATCCAGCATGACGTTGTCAACCACATTCGCACCTCTGGACCCCCAGTATTCGCACGGTCTAGACGACTGGCTCCGTCCTGTCTGCAAGCGGCGAAGGCCGAATTTGAGCACATGCTGCAACTGGGCATAATTCGGCCGTCCGAGCGTCCATGGGCGTCCCCTCAGCATATGGTGCCCAAGGCGACATCAGACGACTGGCGGCCCTGTGGTGACTATCGCGCCCTCAACATTGCGACCATCCCGGATCGTTATCCCGTCCCTCCTCTTCAAGATTTTGCTGGAGCTCTTTTCGGCAAATCGGTTTTCTCGAAGATTGACCTTGTTCGGGCCTTCCATTAGATTCCTGTCGCTCCTGAGGATGTTCCTAAAACTGCCGTCACCACACCATTCGGCCGGTTCGAATTTATTCGCATGCCATTTGGTCTTCGCAATGCTGCCCAAACATTTCAGAGGTTCATTGACCGACTGCTACGCGGTCTCCCGTTTGTGTGCGCCTACATCGATGACCTCTTGGTGGCCAGTCGAAATGCCGAGGAACACAAAGAGGATCTTGCCTTAGTTTTTGACCGCCTCGATTAGTTTGGCGTGGTCAGTAACCCTTCGAAGTGTGTTCTGGGTGTGCCGTCCCTTGATTTTCTTGGTCACCATGTCGATGCACAAGGTTTGCGTCCCCTCTCTTCCAAGGTTAAGGCCATTCGTGATTTTCCTCCACCAACCTCCAAGCGTCAGTTGCAACGTTTCCTTGGCATGGTAAACTTTTATCGCCGGTTCCTACCGAACTGTGTCGACCATATGCTGCCACTCACCGACTTGCTCTCTGGTCCCAAGGGTCTACTTGAGTTACGTGGCCACGCGCTGACTGCTTTTAAGCGACTAAAGACCTCCTTTGCTGATGCTACCTTGCTCACTCATCCTGCCCCAGAAGCCCCATTGCCCCTGATGGTTGATGCTTCGACCGTTGCCGTAGGAGCAGTCCTCCAACAGCATATCAAAGACTCGACACGACCGCTGGCATTCTTCTCCAAGAAGCTTTCACCTGCCGAGACGAGATATAGCACGTTTGGCAGTGAACTTCTTGACATTTACCTAGCCGTAAATCATTTCCGACACTTCCTTGAGGGTCGTGACTTTACAATTTTCACAGACCACAAACCACTTACATTTGCCATCCGATCCCATTCTGACAAATATAACCTGAGAGAGATTTCTCATTTGGATTACATCTCGCAATTCACAACCGACATCCGCCACATTGATGGCCCGAAGAATGCGGTGGCCGACATGCTGGTCAAACCTTCCCTCTCGGCGTTTCACCTCTCACACGGGATTGATCTTGGGGCTATGGCGGCTGAACAACGACGTGTTGGATGACCTGGCGACGAGTCTGTTGACAGTCTTCAATTAGTTGACGTCCCATTGACCACCGGCATTGGCACAATCCTTTGTGTCGTATCGACTCCTTTTCATCGCCCTTATGTGCCTGCCTCGATGCGTCGAGCTGGTTTTCAAACTCTCCACGGACTCTCCCATCCTGGGATTCGAGCCTCACAGAAGCTCCTCGCGGAAAGGTTCGTATGGCCTGGGTTGAACAAGGATGTGAAAACTTGGACACGATCGTGCCTTTGCTGTCAACGTAGCAAGGTTCAACGCCACAACAAGTCTCCATCGGGCACGTTCCCCAGCAATGATGCACGGTTAAACCATGCGCATTTAGATGTCGTAGGTCATTTACCTCCATCCAATGGCTATACTTACCTTCTTAACTGCGTTGATCGCTATACCCGTTGGCCGGAAGACATTCCTTTACTGAATTTGCAAGCTGAGACCATTGTGAAAGCCTTCGTCAGTCGTTGGGTCGCCATATTCGGTGCGCCATCCATGATTACGACTGATCGAGACACGCAGTTTGAGTCCACACTTTTTCAAACTCTCCTAAACTTCCTTGACTGCACACGTATTCGGACGACGGCCTACCACCCAGCTGCCAACGGCATGGTTGAGCGTTTCCACCGCCAGCTAAAAACTCCACTGCGAGCCGCAGAAGATCCCGAAAACTGGTCAGACAATGTACCCGTTGCACTACTTGGCATTCGTGCGGCACTGAAGTCAGACTTGGACTGCAGCGCAGCCGAATTGGTTTTCGGCACTACCCTCCGACTCCCTGGTGAGATGGTCACCCCAACCTCTCGTGGTGCCAAAGAGATCCCCGAAAATTTTGTGCATCGTCTGCGACAATTCATGCGCTCGCTTTCCCCGGTTCCACCTCGAGCTCCATCGACCGAGTCTTATGTTGAAAAAGGTTTAGCCAACTGCACCCATGTGTTCGTTCGGTGTGATCGTGTGCGAAAGCCGTTAAAATCACCATTCGAAGGACCGTTCCGTGTGCTTGCACGTAACAGCAAGACCTTTCGGATCCTGCGAGGTGACAAAGAGAACGAAGTCAGCATCGACCGGGTCAAGGCTGCAGTTGCAGAGGAGCCCCCGGACGTGTCTCAAGGACAAGCATGTGCTGACCCCATACCTCCTCCCACTCCTTTTCCACTTTCCTTACCTATCCCTCCGTCCCGTATACTTCCTCTTCCTTCTTGTTCGCAGCATCAAACTGCAACCTCTTCCTCCACCCTTAACTTGTCCACTACAACGCCTACTCAGCTGCCTCCAACAGTGCCTCCCGCATATATCGCCCGCAGTGGACGTCACGTTCACTTTCCCGATCGTCTAGTTACTCATTTCTCCTAGACCTTTGTATGTACTCCGGCGTCGTTCACGCCGCCCTCCGGTCTCGGAGGGGGGTACTGTGCTGAAGTACTTGACTACTTGACCTTTGACAATCCTGTCACGTTTGTTTTACTGTAGCATTTGTTTTAACGTGACGATGGCTCCGCCGCTCAGAAGCTTCGCGCCGCTTGCAAGCTCTCTAGTCAGATCGTTGCACATTTTGAATATTAACTTTATTCACTTACTGGCCTTCCTTACCTCTCTCCATTTATGAGGTTAGTAAGCCGTAGTTCGTTACTTCGCGAGAACGACATAACTTACGTCAGGTCCGTTAAATGCTCATTCTCAACTTTTGTTTAATGAAAATAGCCATTAGGCAGCTTTCATCACCCCGTCCATTAAATTCGTATTACTACCGTTACAGTATTGGGAGAATTCTTACATTCCCTTATTTTTTTACTCTGCCAACACCCTCTATCATCACCTAAAGACTTTTAGAAAAATAATTTACTAATCAAAACCATAACACGTTGGATCCACCCCAGCAATATTTCTGCAAACCTTCTTATCGCTGAAATGATAATAACGCACTTTAAGAATCAAATCTCCAGTTACTACTCTATAACTCAAGCATTACCTTCCGAGACCGAAAAAGTAAGAAAAAATACCAGATTACCTTTATATTCGGCATAGAAAGTAATGTTTTTCACGCAGAAATAATAACTTAAGGTATTCAGGCGAACTTTATTTGCAGTCATTTTAAAGGAAAGAGGTAGTCAAGGCGTGCAAACAAAATTAAATCTTTTCTAACACCCTTCGGCCAACTTTTGTACATGTGGGGACGAGTTTGAAAATCGAGATCTAACTTTGTCATGACCAGGCCTAACCAGGCATCGTCTATTGGGAACTGCAGGGTAAAGTACATAGCAAGTGCAATTTCCTGCATAACATCAGCGCCGAAGACCAAGAAAATGCCGTAGGCAAAAGGCGTGTAGTAAGGCCAAGGCATCTCGCGCTTGGAGACAGACCACTTTTCGAAAGCCTTTGTAGTAAAGGGGCGATAGACCTTTGCACTAGCCCGTCTCAAGCCCCAAGTCACTCGTCGAATCTGTGTGTCATTGAGGGCGCCCAATTCGGCCTTCAGGACGCTTACATTAAAAGCATAGTCATCATCGAGGACGACGAAGACAGGAGGTCGTTGTTGGGAGATGAAATGCGGGCGACAGAACGTGGAGGCCCATTGAAACGTATGAAATAATTTGAGGCTGAGGTTATAGTAGGTGTCCTCGTAGTCGCCCACAACAAGGTCACCCTTCACTCGGGCTTCTTCTGTCAGATTTCTCAGAACTTCTGATCTCTCGAACTGCATCTTCAGCATGCTCTCACCTGCCCGATCTGGCAGTGTGATGTTGAAACCGTCACGTTGGAAAAACCGACCTCCGCTGCTGCGGGGTAGACCCACGGAGAAGACCGCAGCCATGCGAAATTCAGGTTCACGCTGGGTTTCTTCAGCAAAAGCCCTCCGTATACGATCTCGATCTGCAAAATTGTAGACAGCTGACTTTATGACCACAATAGCATTAAGTGGTATCTCGACTGCTTTTCCTGGGATACAGACGGTCGAGCTGACGCTGCGGAATCTGATTGTCTGATTAAATATGGGAGCCTGTGGATGAAGAAGGGGGCGATTGAACCAAACACAGCTGTACGACGTTTGTCGAAAATAATATCTGACTTAGTTTATATCACAGCGATAAAATTGATTGTCTGTGAATTTGTTGAAGTGATCTGAATGGAAGCTAATGATAGCACACACGTAGAAAGTATTTTTATTTAATTCTCACTACCTCTCACATGTCTCATTACAACCTATTTGCACAATATCTTTAATATTTATTACCTGAACTGACGGCACATAAGTGAAATACCTGTGTCATAAATTTCCATATGAATGTTTTGGGCATTGAGCGGAGGCCAAAAAATCTATGCAAAAGCGGACCATTCAGGTAGCGAAGTCCAGGTCGACTTGCTGTGCTTCAGCGACAACCACGTAGTTCACGAGAAACCATTGAATGTCCAGAATAACAGTGGTTCTACGTATGCTGTCCTCTGGAAGCGTTGGCCCACGGTGGCACCTGAAAAACCCCTAACTCGAAAGTTTTGTCCTTAACCAGTGACCCAATTTAGGTAAAACAAAATTTCAGCCGTCCATTTTCTGTTCCAGACAAGGTGTCCGGGAACGGGCGCATAGTAATGCGCTGATTTATACGGGAGTCGATAAATGCAGTGGACACCGAGATGGAATCCATAGAACCCAATCCGAACTGGTAACAAGCGAGATGGGAACAAGGGTCCAGCGAGACATCGGCCAATCCTGTCAGACCTGTCTTTGGATACGGAATCCCTCGAGAACAGATGTGTACTTTGTGGTGTCTAAGGCAGTTTACTTGCCTACAATCAGGCTAAGAAAGCTGTCGATATCAGAATTCACTAAAATCCACGGGACCATCACAGAGAGCCATTAAATAGAAACCGTTTCACGATTCAGAAAGACTTCAGAATGACTATATGGTTGCTGTTGTAATTTCAGATGCGATTTCTTTGATAAAATCATGGGTTATGCCACCAGTTATAGCGCTGGCTTAGGTAGCGTTTGCTTTAATGAAATACAGTAATAGCTATCTCCTAGTACAGAAGGTGCTTATACTTTAAATCGCAAGGACGCTATTTTTCGCATCTTAATTCTTTTTATAACGGCAGTCTTTAACTTAGGTCTGATTTTAAAATGGCCTTGATGCTAGCTACGTATACGAGATGCGTATTTCCGCCTATTGTGTAACACATGCAGCATGAAAATAAGAAATCTTGAGGCAAGTGTATTAATGTTTCGGGCTCAAAATTACTCGTGAACTGGAAAGGTTTTGGAAAATTCTCAGCCACCACTTCTTCATGCACCCTTTATAGAGACAGACATAATTTGGCGTGACATTAGTATGGGAAAATGTTTCTATTCATATTTTCATATAATAGGGGTCTAAAAAAGCAATGAAGAAAACTGGGGATAACTATGTTATCCCGTCTTAGAGAGTGAAGTTTTTCCACTCGACCGAAAGAAACTGTCTGAAATGCCAGCGATCTGTTAAGACTGAAATACGTATCTGCGAATTATGCTGTGGAGCAATTACTACTACAAATTAACTGAGGACTATTGTCCAATCGGTTAGCTTTTAATGGGATAGCCCATCTATCGTACTGCGTCCGTTGCATCCTTTGGTCATCTTAACCGCAGCAGATGTGCTAACTCAGGAAATGTTAACCCAAATTCTAAAATGTGTTTTCGACCCTAAAAGATTTCTTAGGCAGTGTTACGAAGCCACGATCGGGGAAGGACCCAAAACACACACACACAACCGGCCAAAGATGCCTACAACGACCGCTTCTTAACTCTCTAAGTTGAGATCATTATGAATAACGCACCAGAATGTCTACAACAGACGGCCCAACCTTGTACGATAAAACGTCAAAGCGACAATTAGTGTCGGATTAAAACCCATTTAAATAACCAGTGTAAATATTCTTTCTAGGCAACAGATGTTTGGTGGATTATTTACAATCACCTCAGCTCATAGAGTTGAGAAGCAATTTTTGTAGACACCCAATGTTAATTTTTTAACTGTTCTTCCTAATATCGGTTCTTATGTGTCAATGCAGTAAAACTTTTCCGTCCGATAAATGAATTTACTAAATAAGTATACTTGTTTTGCCATTCCTCCCTGGATACATAGACCCCGCCCATAAAACTCCTATCACCTCCTTTTCCCGTAAGACAGGCCCATTTCGCTGATCGTGTGTGTGTTTGGGGTCCTTCACCAGATAGCTGCCTGGTTGCAGCATTAATTAGCGAGCAAATTAATTCCAAGACAATTCAGTTACTTCAGGATTCCAGCTTTTGAATGAATTCCTTTCCGGCCGCCTGAGAAAACTGCACTCTGTAAAATATGACAGCTTAGGTTGTATGACCTATTCATTTATGGTACTCTTATAAGTTCAATTATATTTTATAGAAAACATGCACAAACATATTCCTTATCTTACCCATTTGGGAAAAAATCACGTCTTCTTTAAATTTCGTACCTAAGAAAGAGTATAATTCAGTTTGAAAAAACTTTCCCAACTTTCCAATGATTTTAAACCCGACCTGCCGCTACACCTGCATTCAGGGTCTCGAAACTACAAGCTGTATATTTTCCGTTTACAGAAAATTATGCATTTCTACGCGAGTATAATAGGAAACTATATGGAGTTCACAAAATTTTGCAGTGGATTTGAGCCATATTTTCATACCAACAAGCAACATAAGTAAATGCAGGGATACGATGTTTAATGAACGGGCATTTCCTTTTGTTCAAAATCTCGCAATTAGAAATGTTTTTAGGACCGGATTATACCTTTAGGCAGTAGGAGTACAGTAGGTGGGCTAACTCATGGAATGTTAGCCGAAGTTCTGAAATGCGTTTTCGTTTCGAAAAGATTAAGTAAGTCCATTTGGAGACCTTATCATCCAACAGCTTAATTCTATAATAACGCAGTCACCCTGGGATGCCTGCATTCGAACAAACTTATTTCCGGCAGCATGCAAAAGGTATACTCTGTAAAAATGGCTACTTATGTAGCATGCATTGTCCTCTTTGATTTTCGATGCCCTTAAATTTCAATCATATTTAATGGGATACATGCATAACAGTATTCATTCTATTGCTCATTCGGTAGGAAATTACGTTTTCTTCCAATTTTATACTCGAAAAAGGCTATAATTCGGTTTTGAAAACTCTTCCAATTCCCGAATAATGTGAAACCCGACCTGCCATTGCACTCGCACTCAGGGTTTAAAAACTAAGAGCCGCATATTTTCCGCTTACGGAAAACCATAAGTTTTTCTACGGTATTAAGCGGACACCGTATGGGGTTCAAAAGATGCCACAGTGGATTCGAGTCATGTTATTAACTTTACGAGCCACATTGGTAAATGCAGAGACGTGATGTTTTATGAACGGCCAGTTCGCGGTATTCATAACTCTCACAATTAGGAAATTTTGAAATCTGCATTACAACCTTTTTCGTGTATAAAATTGGAAGACAACGTAATTTCCTGCCGAATGCTCAAAAGAATGAATATTGTTATGCATAATTTTTATGAAATATAATTGAATTTCTTAGGGCATCGAAAGTCAATGAGAAGTATGCATGCTATTTAAGTAGTCATTTTTTACAGAGTATAACTATTGCATGCGGCATCCTGTGATAACTGGATTATTATATAATTATGCTGTAAGATGACTTCCTGATTCTTTTAAAAACGAAAACGCATTTCAAAATTTCGGTTGACATTTCATGAGTTAGCACACCTACTGTAAGTTTTGCCAGACTATTTCCGCTTTCTTTCCATCCTCCCTTAAAAAGCACTTTTGGGTCGCAATTAATGGGCATTTGGTAGTCTTTCAACGTAAAAACTTTCCAACAAACCTTTAGAAATAAGGTTTTAATATTTCGTCGTCGAGAGGCGATTGCCGATCCACGTAGACCGCTAGACGAAACAGATTTAATAACAAGCGGGAAAATTGTGAGCTTAACTGACAGCCAGGGCGCCAGACCGACTACCAGGCAATGGGACTGGTATTACATTTTGATAGAGTAAGGCAATTTAAAACAACCTCCAAATGCACAAATCTAATGCGGATTAGGAACGTGCAGAATGATGTTCACCATTCCACTGAATAAATTAACAGGCTTTTCCCGAACGCCTGCTGGGCAACATTCATTTCAACAAACACACATTCATATCGTGGGTTACTATGGTAGCCATTTCAAGGTTTGCGGATGGAAATTGTAAGCAGAAGGGCACAGTCAAAATTCGTTATTATTCCGTGGGTACATTTTCAAATTCGGAAATTTAGAGTAATAACCTCAATCTACTCGATCCAATCGTTGTGCAGAGATGTGCGTGTGTACTGTTTTCAGAGATAAGAAGTTACTTCTAATTGATTCCGCAGATTTTTTGTAAACATGCGCAACCAATAATTTTTCTTAGGCTATTGGAATTAAACTCCTTAAAACGTAAACGTCCTGGCCAGTCTGAAATATCTGCGGATTCTGCCGTAAGATATTTAAAATTACAAGCCTTTTAATTTACCCTTTTTGAACGGCAGCACAGTGTAAAATGTCGGATAACCTTGCGTGAGACAACGGGTCTGCTGGATCATCTGAGAGCTGTCACAAAGGGACGCTAAAGTCGGGCTGTTTCGGAAGGGATAATGGGCGCAGACTGACTGCAGCACTGTTTTTGTGATGTCAGCAGTAATTTGTGCGATAAAATTATGCAATATGTCACCAGTTATAGCGCTTGCTTACGCAGCATTTGCCCTGGTAAGATACGGTATTATTGACCCGCCAGTATGGAAGATGCTTATGCGTTAAATTCCA